GACCAAATTAAGACCAAAAATTAAAGTGGGACTAAATTGAAACAAAAAAATATTATAAGGGACTAAATTAGGGTTTTAAACTATATGATATTATGGGAGTGACGGATCCAGAAAAATTATTAAGTGGAGGCAATAAAATATTTTATAATATTTTTTTATTAAAAATATAATAATTTTTTAAAAAGTATATTTTTGTGATTAAAAATTTAATATATCACCTATTTTTTATAATTAAAATTTTTTCATAAATAGAGTGATATTTTTTTTTTTCTGTCTGATATTGTATTTAAGTGTGATGTTGCAATTTTTAGTGATTTATTTAATTTTAGAGGAACAAAATGGTATAAAATATTAAGATAAAGATAATATAATTACTATTTATTTTCTTTTATATCTCTTCTAAGTTTCTATGTTCATTTAAAAAAATATATTTTATGAGAACAATGCCTATTTTTTTTATAAGAGTATATTTTATTTTTATTAAATATGTTTAAGTAAAAAAAAATAAAAACTTTGTTTAGCAATTACTCTCATTTCTTTTAATTTGGATAATCTCCTACCAACACATAATGTACATATACAAGATCAAAAGGGTTAAAAACTAAAATAAAAATTGGAAAATAACCTGTGTTTTTAAATTAAATTATGACATCTTTAATGAATAAAGGAGTAATAAATCTTTCAGTCAAAAAATAAAATATATTATAATAATAATAATAATAATAAAATTACGACAATTTTGTCATAAAATGAAAGAAATTACACTATAGAATAAAATATAAATGAAATATTAATGTATTTTAACATATTAGATATAAAAACAATCATCGCAAAAAATATTACATTTAATCACATAAATAAAAGTGTTACTATAGTCTATATTTACACTTTTTTGATGATATATTAACATAATATTTTAACATATTAGATATAAAAATAATCATCGCAAAAATGTTACATATAATTACATACAAAAAAATGTTACTATAATCTATATTTACACTTTTTTAATGATATATTAATATATATTGTATTTATAGTATATGTAAAAATAATTTTTAATAATAAATATCATATCTTTATAATATGTGTGTCATTACTTAAACAATTTTTTTTATAATAAATTAAAATATAACTTATATATATATATAATTATAAAAAGTAAATTATATATATATATATATATATAAGTGTAAAATTTCAGTGGGGGTACCTGCCCCTACTCTCACATGAATGGATCCGTGCCTGTATTATGGTATAAAATTATTTGAAAAAAATTAATTGAGAAAGTTATGAAAAACATTCGATAAATATATAGTGAATAATATCATGTATTTTTAAGAGGCTTTTATTATTTATTATTTATAAACTTTAACTAATGTATTACATTATTTAAAGTTAAATATTTAAATAATTAGAAAGAAAGAAAGTTTTTAGGTTTAATATTACAATCGTTCAATTTTGATCTTTAAAGTTTTAATTGAATAATTTAGTCTTACAATTATACAATTTTTGTTTCTAAAATTTTATTTAAATAGTTTTAATTTTTAAATATCATAATTATACAATTTTAATCACTCAAGTATCACAATCATATAATTTTCAACCTATTTAAGTCATATATTTTATAATTCTCATTTAGGTATTAATAATGTGTAATTATTTTTACTAAAATTACTGATTATGTAATTTAAATAAGCAAAAATTTATATAATTATGATACTTGATAAACTAAAATTATACAATTGCGATACTTTAAAAATTAAAATTAATTAACTAAAAATTAAAGATCAAAATTACCCAACTGCAACATTTGATAAATTAAAATTTAAAGGATTAAAATTACACACTACTATATTTAAGGAAAAAAAATACATATATAAGTTATATTTCTAGTTTGGTCACTGATTAGGAACCAAATTTTAATAACCCGATAATTAAGTTATATTTTTAAGGATAAAATAAGTTTTAAATCTTATTTGTTAGTCAAAATTGATCATAGTCTGTTTTGATCCACGTGTCTTTTATTAATCTTTTGTGAAACTTAAAATACTAAGACAAGGGACAATACTCACCGATTATAAAAAGTCCAATGACTAAAATGATTAGTTTTGAAGAATAAAATACTATAGTAATTTTAATCCAAATTTGGAAGAACCAAAACACACGCTACCTTACTTTTAATAATGAACAGTGTGTTCGTACGGGTCAAATAATTTGACAAGGCCTAGTTGAGAATGTGATCCTTTAAGCATCTAACATGAATCCACAGCGCAGAGATCATAGAAATGGGACATCCTTTTGAGTCCACTAGTGCCAAATGCTTGGATCAGAAATCAAGAAATGGGACCAACTGGCCAATAAGATTTCAGTTTTAGATGGAGAGTTTTAGGCCACAAATCTCATCACCAAAATATTCTCAGCCACAAACTCATAACAAGTATTTTTCTTTTGCCCTTTTCTTTTCACACAACTGTCTGTTATCAGATTAACACTTAGTGGGTCTGCATCTTGGTTTATATAATAATAACTCCTTCTTACAACTATTTGAGCAATATAATATGTGCACTTGACCACCCCAAAACCGCAGCACCCTCAGCAGCATCCTCAGATTTTCAGCTTCCACAACTCAAATTCTAGTGAACCAAGTTTTGTTCATCGCTGACTACTGAATTCTCCATCTGGGTTGGTTTGTTTTCATCAATCAGAAGCTGGGTTCTCTCTCTTTTCTGTAGCTAAGCCTTAGAAACTAGAAAGGTATGTTCTATTATCGTATATGAAGTGTTATTTTTTTTCTTCTAAGGAATGATTTTAAGGAAATTCAACAGTTTTTAAGTTTTTTCTTTTTGGGTGTCGAAAGATATATGGTGTTTTCCCCCTTTCTAGATTTTTGTCCTTTTGTGTTTGTTGAACATTCCGAGGCTTGAATGAGGTGGGGATTTCATTCCTTAATGAGGATATGAGCTTTTATTTTCCTGCTGGAACAGGATTCACTCCTATTAAAAAAAACACATTTTTATTTGAAGGAAAACTCGTACAGAAACTATTGACCTGCATAACTTTCTTGGGCTTGGTTGAATGAAGTTCTGCTTTTGTGTTAATCAAACTGCTTGTTTGTATCTGAGTCAGAGAATTCTGCATATTTCCATTTGATAAGGCCATTCACCACATGCTGATATTGACAAATTTTGAACATTCTGCAGAGTATTTGGCATGGAGTGGTACTATGGATGTGAAAATAGTGGCTTTCTTGTTCCCAATGAGCAAGAAAATTTGGTGGAAAGGCATCCTTCACCAGAAAGATGGTCAGAATGGGGAATAAGTACACCACCCCAAGAGTGTTTGATGATGGACACAAATGAAACAGAGGAAGAATTCAATTTCATTGATGAAAGTTTCAACAATGAAATTGAGTTTGACCATTCTAAATATGATAAAGACCAGTCTAGCAGTTCAAGTGTGTGTGGAGGATTGACTGATCAATCTTTTCAGCAAACAGCACTTTCATGTGATCATCATCATCAGCCTAAGTATCAGCTTCAAGACCTATCAACTTTCGAATGCACCGATGACATTTTCTTGTACAAGCGTAACCTCTGGAACTAAGATACTTGGTTTTATGCCTGTAGGATTATGAAATCATGTAGCAAGTCCAGTACAAATTGAATTGTTCTGTGGTGTTTTTTGCATTCCAAATTTCACCATATTTGTCATAATGATTGGAGCCAATACAGACTAACACAATCATACTTATTTGTTCTCAGAACTCTATAAGCATGAACCTGTTATTGCATGGTAAGGGCTCCCATTTTCTTTAATAATTCAAGTATGGAAATTCTTTTTTCTTAATTTTTCATTAAATATGTAACCCAACATAGACATTCAATACTCACTGGCTTATTACCATAGGCATGAAGTTAATCCAATTCAAACAAATATTTTGTCTTATGGTCTTCACATGGTTCACATATGCAGGGATTCTGTACTTGAAGATTTTCCTTGTGTTGAAAGCCTACACAAATCTTTCTTTTATCCTGAAAACCAGTGCAGCAGCAACACAACTGGTGATTACTATATTTGAGTGTGTGAACAAGTAATTTCAAAAATATCTATAATATGGGTGTACTAATTACAAATTAGTTCTTTCCATCAGGTGGAGTACAGAAAGATTTTGCAGCTTCAGATTTGGTTCCTTGCAACTTGGACTCTAAGGATTGCCTAGATATAGAGGTGACTATTACCTTTTGTCATGTAGTTCAATAGTGTTTCAAAATCGTAAATTTGTAGTAAACATGTAGTCAGCATTGCACTTGTAATCAGACCAAAATTTTCTTGTGTATGTGGCCTCCAAATCGTTTGTTATGCAATAGCATAATTTACATGCATATACTTATTCATGTATTATGGATATCCTTTTTATGTTTAAAAACTTTGCTGTATTTTTAAGTGATTGCTACCTTAAAACTTTTATGCTTGCAGCAATCATGTTATCCGATAATCTCTTTTATTTGATCTTAACAAGTTCACAACATAAAATGGGCAGAAAAAGAGAAGTAAATCTACCAGTAGCGTACAAGTACTTTTTTATGATACTATATTGTGGAGAAATAAGTGAATTGTGATAAATATTTTTTTTATACTAATAGAACAAATTTCCATAGAAATTCTAATATGGTAATTGTAAAGTATGCCTTGTGTTCTGCTTTGAAGGCTTACAGTGTAATGTAATCTATTTAATTTCTCTTTAAGGGGCATGCAGTCAAAGTCTTGGACCCTTTTGAGCAGTCTAATGGAGATGACACCATGCTTGAGCAGTTCTCTCTTGAGGAATTTACACTGCAAGATTTTGAGATGATAATTGCACAGGTACTGAGAACTGAAATTATAGGAATATGATTAAATGTAATAATAAGTAGTGCTACTGAAGCATTTTTTGAGTGCGATGAAAAAAGTGTTACTAGCACTTTACATACAATAATACTTTTTGCTGATTTTTATTGTCATTGTCTCACTTGATTAGTTCACTGAGAAGACTCGTATTGGTTTTCGAGATGCCATGTACCGTCTTGCTAGAAATACAAAACAACATGTAGTTGAGGATCTGGATGGAGCTCTTAACAATGAAACCATGAGGTACAATATTTACATATGCTACATTTCTCTTATCTTCTTTTGGCCATTAGTTGCTACATGTTGTGGTGAAACAGTAACTCTCTTTGGTGATTTGGATGACAACATAACTTCTGCTTGGTTTGGCCTGAAACTACTCAACACAAATTGCACTCTAATTCCTTCAATACTTCTTTTACAATCAGCTTAACATTAACTTTTTATTTTGTTTCAGATTATATTGTACTTATTGGTATATTATGAAACAAATATAGTTAGTTCTGTTTTCTAGTTTAGTTTTTTCATATTAACTATTTTGTTTCAGATTATATTGTACTTATTGGTATACTATGAAACAAATATAGTTAGTTCTGTTTTCTAGTTTGGTTTTTTCATATTAACTATTTTTGTTTTTTTGCAACACTCATTGTAACACACTGAGCATTGTTGGTGTTAGACACAAGTCCAAATAATAGTATACAGTTTTGTCTTTCCCCGAACTACTAAAATAATGAAAACCCTTGGTTGAAATGTAGGTCTGAGGTCAAGAAACCAATGGAATCAGAGACCAACAGAGTTGACAGAGCAGTTGCAAGTCTCATGTTCAACAAGATGGAACTTAACATACTAGATCTTCCTCTTACAACTCTAGTAAACTTGAAGCAAGAAGTAACCGGAAGTAAATGTCTTGAAGGAAAAAGATCAAAAGCCTTTGATGTGGAACAAGAATCTCTCTATACACCCGGAAAAGTTACCCACCAATGCTGAGGTTCCAATATTTGAACCAAAGAACCAAGAAGTCACAGAATCATATTGTCCATGCAGCTCCTACAAAGAAGTCATTCATGCTTGAGTTTGGTTAAGTAATGTGATTGTGAGGTGCTTCCTAGTAGCTAAACCAAAAATAATAAAAACCAATTTTCTGTAATTATGCAAAGGAAATTTTGACTATTTTGGCTTCTGTGATCTCCATGTATATGTGCTTTTGCACAAGAATTATTTGTATTATGTAGCTTCTGTCCAAGGGCTAGATGTATGCATTCAGCCCTATTTTGATTTTGATTGGAATGTAAATGGTTGAATTGATCAACTAGCTAGCAAAGATGGGGTCAGTGACTCTGTTGAGTATTCTTAGGTGCTGTACACCTTGATATTTTGATCAACTAGCAGTTAGAAAAGGTGGGGGTTACTTGAGGATTCTTTGTGTTGTACCCTTATATTCTTCTTAGAGTACAATTGTGAATTTATCAACTAGGCAACTAGCTATTAGAAAATCTTGGGCTAGGATTCTTTGGCATCTCGATATTTTTAGTGTAAATGCGAATTTATCAACCGGGGATTACGAGGATTTTCATCATAGGAGTCAAAAAATCAGAAGTGCATTTGAATAAGTGACAAAATTTAGATACATTTTTATATGTATTATGTATTTGTTTTTCGATTTGAATTAGAGATTTTATTTAAGTAATATGCATAATAAAAATAAAAATTAAAAGATTACTCAAATTTTTGGAGTGAAACACCAATTTTAATTGTATAGTAATATCAATATTAGTAATTAGTGAGCTGTACTTAAGTTGTCTTCTGCATAAAATTTAAAATAAAAATGCTCTTATGATGTAGTTATTTTTAAGAATTTATTTTCAACATTATATTTTTATAACTTTCAAGTAAGGATATATTTTAAGTTAAAAAGTAAGATATGTAACATGCATAAAAGGGCAAGATGGAGAATTGGCGTCAAAATTACTAGATGGTCCTTCAGGACGCGTGGCACAAGACCCGGAAAGTAAGGAAACGGTTAGGAGAAGCACACGTGAGCGTAAGGAGAACTTGTATTTGAAGGATTATGATCATGGATGAATGCATGTTGATGGTATGAACCTTCTTTCTAAATATTCCGTCGTTCATTGTTCTTAAAATTGTAACAAACATTGTTCCAAAGTTGCAATTGAATTTCTCTACTATATCACTCTATTTCATTAGTGCTTTTATTACTCTTCATGGATGAGCACACCAGGTTGAAGGAAATTCAAGTTGAAGTGAAAACCCAAGGTAGCGAGATTCAACGATTGTTGGAACGATTTGAATTGCGAGATCGCCAACAACATGAATATAATGATAAAAAAAGAGGCTGGAAATCAAGCTCGACTTGATCAGATCCAAGCCACTTTGGATCGTTTTTTGGTTACAAAAAATGACACTCAGCATCATGAAGAGTCTACGTTGAATGTGGTATTACCTATGACAGACATTTCTCTCGAGTTTCCTCATTTTGATGGTAATTCTTTGGTGCTTGGATGGATCTTCAAGGCAGAAAAGTTTTTCAATTATCACAACACATTAGATGCTTCTAGGGTTGAGATTGCAGCGATGCATTTTGGTGGTGATGTGGTTCCTTGGTTTCAGATATTATAAAGGTTGGCAGTGGTAAATACGTGGGCAAAATTAACTCGTGCTCTTGAATCTCAATTTGGTCCTTCACCATTCGATTGTCTTATGTCAGAATTGTTCAAGCTACAACAATCATGTTCTATTTCAGATTACTATTTGAAATTCATGTCTCTAGCTAATCGGTCATTTAGTCTTAATGATGAAGCACTCCTTAAGTGTTTTTTGAGTGGTTTAAATGCAGATATTAAAATAGATGTTATGGCTTTGTTACTGACTTCCTTGTTAAGAGTTGTTGCATTGGCAAAACTTTATGAAGATAAATATTGCCCTTCACCAAAACAGGCCCTCAGTAAACCATTTGTTTCAACTTATTATTCTAGAAATGCATCCCAATCATTCCAACCATCTCAAAACTTGAAAGTTAATTCCAAGACAAATCTTCTAGCGTTATTACCTACTCCAACTGGTCCTCCACTTAGAAATGCCAATGTTAAAAGGATTATCCCTGCTGAAATGCAGTTAAGGAGAGATAAGGGACTTTGTTATTTTTGTGATGACAAGTTTACCTTTAATCATAAGTGCCCAAATAGATAATATTTGTTTCTCCAATTGGAAGAAAATGATAGAGTTGAATCTGAGACTATAGAGGAAGTGATAGTGACAAATGTTAAAAACACTGTTGTGAAAGATCATCATTTGTCGCTGAATGCTTTGAAAGGTGGAATGGGTGTGGGAACTATTAGGTTCTTAGCCTATATTGATAAACTTCCCATTCAAGTATTGATTGATGGTGGAAGTTTAGATAGTTTTCTGCAACCAAGCGTCGCTAAATTTTTAAAATTACCACTTAACCCAGCTTCTATGTTCAAAGTAATGGCGGGAAATGGGAATTACATGAGTGCTGAAGGAGTGGTCCAACAACTTAATGTGCAAAGGGGACATTCATTTGTGTTACTTGTTTTCTTGTTACCTATATCTGGTGCGGATTTGATTTTAGAAGCTAGTTGGTTAAAAACCACTAGTTCTCACATTGTTGATTTTGAAGCATTACAATTGAAGTTCTTAAAGGATGGAAAATTTATTACATTGTAGGGAGATAAGGATTTGATTCTTGCTTAGGCACAATTACATCATATTAGAAGGATTATACATACCAATTCAATAGCTAAGGTATGTAGTATGAAGTTGGTTGAAGAAAATTCACACTCTTTTCCTTTGTTAGATTTTCTTGCGGACATGGAACCTGAACTAGCTCTTTTACTGCATACTTATGGATCTATTTTTGCTAATCCTACTAGTTTACCACCTCCAAGATCACATGATCATTTTATTCCCTTGTTAGAAGGCTCTAATCCTATGAAAGTTAAGCCTTACAGGTATCCTCATAGTCAAAAAGAAGAAATTGAGATATTGGCGGAGGGAATGTTGAGAGAAGGCATCATTCAGCCTATTAGAAGTCCTTTTTCTTCTCTTATAATCTTGGTTAAGAAAAAGGATGGGTCATGGAGGGTTTGTACTGATGATCGAGCTCTTAATGCAATAACTATCGAGTATAGTTTTCCTATTCCGACAGTCGATGAGTTGATAAATGAGCTATTTGGTGCTTATTATTTTGTGTTAAGTCAGACGAAGAAATTTCCAACAAGGTTTTGAATATGACAAATATAATATGTATTGTTATTTCTAACATGTGTGTTAATGTTTTAGATAAATATAAGAACAGACAAAACTGAAAAAATGAAGTACGTGTTATTACACGTACTATGGTCAAATCAAACGAAGCCTGGTTGAGCTGTACAAAGTATCAGATGATGGTTGATCAAGCATCAAGACTAAGCTTGATCAAAAGCTAAACGAAAATACAACAAATACAAGACAAGGCGTACTACCAGTTGAAGTCTTGAAGTATCAGACGAAAGGCCAAAACAAGTATCAAACAAGGCTAAATCAAGAACAAGACAAAAGTTTGTTAAGCACCAGATGAAGTCCGTACAGACATCAAATGAAACTTAATGGTCAACCAGATGAAGGTCAACAAAGTATTAGACGATGGATAACCCAAGACGAAGAAACGTTCCAAACGGAATTAAAGTCTTCCATCTTCACAACTAACCGGACGGAAGGAAAAGTCAGTCTACTTCTCAGACAGAGACTCAAATTTGAGATGCATTACCAGACGCAGACGAAGAATACTGAAAAGCGTCTAAAGTCCACTATTCACATATAAAGATATCAAATATTGTCTACACTCATAGAAGAACACACGAAGTCATCAAATTTGTGAGAAGAAAGAATAAAGATAGACAAGCGCGTATCCACAAGTCAAAGCATGCGTGTGTCAGAGAAAGTACACCTACTTTTCAGAAAAAGACAATGCCTCTGCAGCTACAATGACGAAAAGAGAACAAAAATAGCTAGGTTATGATTGAAGTCAGAAATAAAAGTAAACGAACTACACAAAAGACTTCACGTAACACAGATTCAGTAAGCAAACATTTAATGCAAGATCAAATGCATTAAATGAAAGATCTATATGGCCATGAACGAACTACTATCTACGCCAACAGGAAGCTCTGCTCTAACGAACACTTTCAAATTTAAACAACGGGTAGATTTATCACGAGGCTATAAATATCAAGACCTAACAAGAGAAGAAAGGGTGAAGAGAAGCAACGAGCAATAAGCAAAAGCGAACGTAAAAGCAAACTTACATCTCTTCTTGTACAGTCTTATATATTTGTGTAAATCTAAGATAACTTATCTTATTGAGTGTTGAGACTATCCTATCCTCTCTGTGAGAGTTATACACACACTCAAAACACATATCTCTATAAAACTAAGGTTGCATACCTTAGCGAGTGTAAAAACCATCCTATCCTCTCTGTGAGAGTTATACACACACTCAAAACATCTATCTGTTGTAAATCCTGAAGAGGCTAGTTGAAAGAATACTTGGTGAACTAGGAGTGGTTGATAATACTTGGGGAACCAGAAATGGTTTAAGAATACTAGCCCTGACGAATGAAGTTGGCGAACCAGGAGTGGTTGATAATACTTGGGGAACCGGAAGTGGTTTAAGAATACTAGCGCTGACGAGTGAAATTAGCGAACCAGAAGTGGTTGATAATACTTATAATCCGTTGCGATTAGTGGAACCCTTCGGTTGAAGGAGACTGGACATAGCTCAGGTCGAGCGAACCAGTATAAAATTCTTTGCACTATTTATCTATTTCTCAGACGCAATTTTTGTTTAGTTGATATATCATACTGAAAATTTTGTCCAGTACTTATTTTTTACTACAACTATCTTTAAACAGAAAATACACTTGCTTAACTTATTATTTTAATAAATATTTTTCTTGTGCAGACGATAAACTCTCAGACGCAAAATAATTTTGTTGAGCCAATCTTGCACAAGTTTTAAAGTGTTCAAAATAATATTTTTACTTGACGAAAAAGAGTCTATCTGCAAAAACGATTTCAAAATTCTTTCGTTCACTCACACATTCAACCCCCCTTCTGTGTGTTTTTCCTCTAACTTCATTTTTCTAAGCTTGATCTTAGATCTGGTTATCATCAAATCAGATTAAATCCTACAGACATACACAAGACAACTTTTAGAACTCACCAGAGCCATTATGAGTGGTTAGTCATGCCCTTTGGCTTGACTAATGCCCCTACTACATTTCAGAGTTTAATAAATGATATTTTTGTCGGCATGTTAAGAAGGTTTGTACTAGTATTTTTTGATGACATTTTGGTGTACAATGCTACTTGGAAGGATCATTTATGTAATTTGGAAA